CCTCTCTTCTCTCCCTCCTCTCCTCTCTCTCTCTCTCTCTCTTTCTCTCTCCCTGTATCAACATGTGAAAAAAATTAATGAATTTACATATGTATATGCATGTTTTCAGGAAAAACTGTTAGAAAAATTACAAGGAATTATACATATCTTTTTTGCTTCTGCCCGCCTCTGTCACGCGGGTTCATTTTTCTTCCGCGGAATTTCCGTCTCGAAAGAGACGTGGGGAGAATTGAAGTGAACGGGAGTGCTCGCCATATATGAATGTGCGACCCTTGGATCAAAAAGTTATTTTCTTCCCATGTAACGTTTATATGAAATATCGCGTTACAATTCTGTCAACTTTCATTAGCGAACTCCTGCGGGAAAGGTAAATACTATATAATAAGGTACTTTACATAAGTATATAAAGACCGACGACATATTGAGAAACATAGAGACGAATAATATAAATATTTTCGATCAAGGCTGGATCTTAATGCTTAATAATTTTTTTTAATTTTATATAAATTTAATATCTATTTTTGTAAATAATATCTATGTACTTGAAAATATAAATATTTATTCGTATATTTGTTATTTTAATTTACATCGGTAAAAGTTAATAACGTTGTAGGTTTTTAATTATCCTTTCTTAGTGGAAATTAATTAAAATTTGCCGCCAAGAATATGGATATCGTTTCCTTTAGTGAGATCTACTAGCTTGTTGCTTTGAAAAATATAACTTATCATGTGTGATATAATATGGAATTTTAAATAAATGTGACTTTTAACTAAAATATCAAACGTTATCAGAAATAAATATTAAATACAAACATGTTTACCAGTTTAATGCTAAAGATTTTCCGTTCGTTCGTCATGCCTTGCACAAATATAATTAAATAATATTTTAATTAAAAAAAGTTAATTAATTGAAATAATTCCTTCCTGTTCCAAACATGTTTACAAAATAAAAAAAAATTATTATTCCGTTGACGAGATAATTCCGTATAACAATGCATTTCCGTAAATCAGTTGTGAAATGAAACCGAACGATCCGAGGGTAGCTCAGGGTATAAAAAATTTTGGAGGGAAGGAATAAATTCAGTTTTCAATTTTGAGCTACCGCGTTTTAAGTCTGTTAAAAAATAAGGACGCAAGTAGTCCGCAATATAAAACAATTTTCAATTTCCAATTTATAGATTTATAAATTCAATAATAAAGGATTACTAAGATTTCTAAGATATGGAATAATCCTCTCCACCGATTATCCTTTGTAATAAAATTTGCTTACGAAGAAGATATACAATACCTTTACGTACAAAAGATTCCTCAACGAAAGATTCCTCATGATAATCCGTTGACATCCATCGCGCGGTTCACAGATAATTTTTCGCGACGCGCGACACTGTATTAAACGCACGTACAACGTGTGCAGCCTCGCCTTCCGTCCCGTTTCGATTAGCTTATTATTCAGAGTGATGCATTGCTTTTCTACAATGCACATTCGCGCGGATTAGCTCGCGCCGCGTTGCGCCGCGCCGCGCCGCGCCGCGCCACGCCGCGCCACGCCGGCCGCAACACACATCCGTGCGTTCCGTATGTTCGGGAGACTCGCGAATACGATCGTAACGGAAAGCGTGCAGCTCGTCCCGCCGATTACTCGTCAGCGGCAGTCGCACGGCGGGCGCCAACGAGCGTGGCCGCGTCGTTCCCGATTTCGCGACCGCGCCGCGGGGTTTCAATATCGCGCCCGCGGGATCTCGCACGATGCGATTGGCGAACTCACGGTCCGGTTTACAGTTTACAATCCGAGCCGAATTTCACGAAACGCACACGCGGAATGTACGAGACACTTGAGAAATGTGTAGAAAGTCGCGGAACGTGCGAGATAACGTTTCGATATGAGCACGCCCGGTAAAACTTTTCTCAGCCTCTTAACCGATGGTACCGTCATGTCGGTACTTTTATCTTTTATTTTCATTGTGTACACACGTGTCGTTCGCGCAAAGAATTGGAACTGCGTAGAGCGTACATAGGCACGCGAAAGTTTGTTCAATGAGACGCATTTTCACGCCCAATTATGGTATTCGATTATTAATTCGCTACGTTCGCTACCTTTTTCCTTGTGCAAAGTATGTTTCATTGATTAAAATATTCCACTCGATCGAAAATATAGTTGTACGACTCGAAATTCTTCTTGTCTTTAGAATATGAAAAATTAAAGAGTAATTAAAGATTAAAATTTCTTATTTAAAATTTCAGTTTGCTTTTTTTTTTAAATTACATATTTATTTATCTCTCTACAAAAATATGTATCTTCTATAAAAATTTTATTAATTTAAACTTAACTGTTGTTCGTTCTAAAAAAAAAAAAAGTCGATCTTTCATTAAAACTTTTATATACCTTTCTGTTATCGTAGAGTGTTATCATAGTCACAAATACAATATGCTTCTATCAGCGCAGAGAGCCACTATGGCCTGCTATGAAAAGAAAATATTAATATCCTAGATCTAAGAAATAGGCGATATTGCATAGAGAGTCAATCGTATCGCGACGTTGAGTATTTTTAATTTACCCGTTCAAATATTTACATACGTCGTTACTTTTATACGGGAAAACAAACTCGAAACTCGGGAAGCCACATAATTTTTTCGCCATGATACATATTCACGGATTTATGTCAATTAAAAGCTGGGTAACGCGAGGAAGAGCTGCCAAAAGTTGGTTCAATTAAAGTACCGAGGATTCAGCTGGAAGTTCAAGAAGCAAGTTCCGGACTGAAAACTGACTTTTTACGGAACGGAAGGTTCCGAATTACCGGGTTCTGAATTATTTTACACCCGCTTCGTAATTGGCTTTCAGTTGGAATCGCGCGACATTATATCCACCGACATTTCTGTCATCGCGTCGTTGTGTCGACGGATATCTCTTGGACCGTATATTTCCTCTGTTTTCTTCGAAATCCATCAGCCCGCAGTATTTCACGATTTCGGGGCGGACGAAAATGGATGGAAAAATTGTCGGCTATCCCGAGTGAAATCACGAGGTTGCATCTGCACTTCGTCTCTCCTTCCGTGCCGTTTCTGGTAACAATAACAACGCATTGACGACAATGTATTGCGTTACCCGGATGATTATTTTCACTCGCGAACAAATTCTCGAGCACTTCCACGATATAATCGCGAAAAATTGTCGCGTTATTTTATTTTTGTTTAGTCGCACGCGAATCGTATTACCGTATATAAAACCTGTTATCATGTAAGCGAACAAATTGCAAAAATAATTAAAATGTTCCAACATTAGTATTATTACGTTTCCTATTTTGTTTTTTGTTTGTTACTTTTATTTTACGTGTTTTTTTTCGTCAAACAAAAAATGCAAAAAATTGTTGAAAAAAAAAAAATTGGTTTGATCAGCATACTTCAAATTCAAAGCGTTCGAATTAGTAATCTTTACAAAAAATTTATCAAGTATAACTTTATCACTTTTTGAAATATATTTTTAAAGTGCCGAGGGCATTTGAAAAAAAATTTTCGTTCTGGTAGAATCAACTCCGTGTATGTATACATAAAAAAAATCGGGCCGACTAGAAATATTGATATAATTATAATTAAATTTTATCGATTCTACAGAAGAATATTTCGGTCATACGCATATCGCGAATCGAAAACATTATCGAGTCCAACCCGGCCCCGAATCGTATTTAATTATATCCGTTCGAGCAAAAATGTTAATTAAACGCAAACTTTCCCGCCCCGGTGGCGAGGAAACGTAATTAAAATTTCGCCGACAAATCTCGCCGACAAATCTCGCCGACGTTGTTCGCGAAATATTTCCTCGCGGATCAGTCACCCAGTCACTCCGGCGATCCCGCGATTTTCGCGGATTTTTTTTCGCGCGTCTCCCCCTTGATGATGCCTTCGATATTTTTCCCGACGAAGTCTCGATCTGCATTTCGAATCGACACGCCGCGGGTGTCTCGGGGTATGATCGTGAAGGGGCAGTGTCAAGTTTTTTTCCGCGGGTGAAATTGACGTGGGACGCATCTGTGCGGCCGCGCGTCTCGTCCGCGACGCGTTTCTCGCTCCTGATGTCCGTACGTCTGCGCACACGTCGACGCGGTTCGCGCGCGAAAAACATCCAGAATGTATATAGCACCGGCACGGACACACACGCACAAACACACACACACACACACACACACACTCATACTCACGCGCATACACGTTGGCGCGGTGCACGTTGGCACGTTGCAGCGCCGCGTATTCCGCTGCCGCAGTTGCATTGCGAACGTCCATGAAAGCGCACGCGAAGACGTCCGTCTAACGCGCGATCTCGTTACGTACGGTACGGTACGGACATTCGGTATATGACTAGCCGAACTATATTTAGAAACTCAAACGCGAACCCGAGATTTATTTATGCGAGATATACAGGGTGCTTGGTAAAAAAACTGTGCAAAAAGTGACAAGGTGATATTTTTCATTTATCGAACTCGCCCCTCTCTTTGGAGTAAATTTTTTTCCGAGGAAGCTTGCTTATTTTTTGCAATTCTTTCATCGATAGAAAGAAAATATTTTTATTTGCTTAAAAATAATTTCTATGAAATTGATTTGATTTTGAAGAATGAGAGATTCGATCGCGCCGATTGATGCAACTATTTTTTTGATCTTGATATAAATTTTCATTCCGAAAAAGCTACTTCTAAGCTCGTCGAAGGATATAATTTTATTACAATTTTATCTATATTGTGGAACATCTGGTATATCAATATCTTGGAACGACCAATACCATACTGCAAGCACAAGGAAGCAAATGTTGTGCGCGCAGATACGGATACCGTTCGAACAAGCCATAACTAAACGATGCCATTTGTTTTCGGTCTAAGATAACATTTCTTGATAAAAGTCCCTTCCACGAGTCTGAATTTCACGAAATACCTTTCGACCTAGATCTCTCAATCAATCTTAAAAGCGCGATATGTTATCTCGGTATAACCTATAACTAAGGTAATTAAGTATTTAACGCTCGAAATATATTTGTAGTATGAAAATTTTACTTTTGTTGAATATATATAGCACATTGGTAAAATTAAGCGAAATTCAGTAATCTGATCCAGCAGCTTCATCCATCCAAAATATTTACTTTGTTAAAATCCTGAACTTGACAACCATGTTTAGTGCCAGACGGAAACCAGACATACTCGTCAAATATTCGCGTTTATTAATTATACGTGACGAATTTAAAAGCAATGTATTGAAGTAATGAATTATATTACGATAACATATAAGAATTTAATTGCCGAGTACTAACGGAATTTGCTATTCTGAGAAAATTTTTAACTGTCCGTAACGAACTTTGATTCCGATATTCCATAAGGATTTGCATCATATCGTTGCAAAAGGAATTTAATTCCACTGTCTTCCGTATAGAAATCAAGTACTGATATTATCACGCGTATCACAATTAATCCCAAGCAGAATTTAATGATAATTGCGCGATCGTACAATACGATTAGAGCCGAGCAAATTGGAGAACATTTTACACGTATCTACTGTTCAGTATAATTGCGCGATGTTATTGTTATCGTGTCTCTTCCGGGATAGCGAACGTTGATTTTCAGTTTTACATAAAGACATATTCTGCCGCCGCTTTCGAGATAATGATAATAATTCAACTAAAACATCCCGACGCGCTGCAAATGAAGTCGCGATGAGACTTGGATTACCTAACTTTGTCAGCATGAGAGTCCCTTATTTCTCCTTCTGGTATTAACAAAAACGATAACAGCGAACCGCGTATTAGAAACCACATTAAAGTTTTACATGAGATATGAGGGGCGTCTTCTTCGTGAGCGCATCTATTACGCTATTTACCCACAACGTCTAATAAATAGATATATATTCTTAGAATTATTATAACGCAGTAAATGTAAGATTAATATAAAATGATATTATTATGATAGTAATGTTTGAGAATTGTTTACAGAATTTTTATAGTATAGTATCGCGTACTAGTTGCCGCAAAAATATCTCTCTTTCTCTCTAATTGAGAAATTCACACAATTCATGTGATGAATAAATTGTTTGCTGAAAATTAGCGAATATGACTTGAGTAGAGATTAGTACATTAAACACGTAATATCACATTCCAACAATACTTAATGCCAAGTTAATTCCTCGATCTTGTACATTATAATTCCCCAGTGGTTTATCCCTCGGAACAAATGCTCATTTGTGTTGACTCGTACTTGTGGCAGGGAGGGGGGAGAGAGAGAGAGAGAGAGAGAGAGAGAGAGAGAGAGAGAGAGAGAGAGAGAGAGAGAGAGAGAGAGAGAAGAGAAGACAGGGGAGCGCTTATATATATCTTCTAAATTTACTGGTACATAAATTTTAAAGGCACTAAGCAAATCAAATTGAGAAACACCCTTTCATCTTTTAATTTATTTCTACAAATAAATACAAGTAAGTTTGCGAGAAATATATTTTGTTATATTTTATTATACTTTAATTTATTTAAAATTATCAAG